CCCCCGATAACGCTCAGCTCCCCACACCCCCAATAACCCTCATCCCCCAGACAGCCCCCCAAACCCCAAGACAATGCTTAACGCCCAGACAGCCCCCAACCCTCCCCCCCAATAATGCTCGGCCCCCTGATGGCCCCCGTGCCCCAGAAAAAGCTCAGCGCCCAGATGCCCCCCACACCTCGAGATGACACTCTGTGCCCAGCCTGCCCTCTCTCCTCCTAAGACACGTGGTGCCCACACAAGGCACCCCTGCCCGCCCCAGGAACATTCAGCGCTCACACGGTGCTGAGTGTTTGGCATCCAGACAGTGTCCATGTCCCCCCACCCCACCCCACCTCACCCCCTCAGGCGCTGCCAGCTCTAACCAGGCTCCAAGCGGGACAGGTCTTGTTTGACCAAAATTGCCCCCAGAGCCAGGGCAGTTGTCAGAGACTCCCCGCAACAGGGTCCCAGCTGCATCAGGTGCCACCCGCTGTGGGGTCTGCGGGTTCCAAGCACGCCAAGGGCACCCCCGTGGTGCGACCCAGAGCCACCAGGCAGGGGTAGGGGATGGCGCCTCCCAGGGACCAGCAGGGGTGTGAAAGCTCCCTACGGGCAGGAACCATCGTGCCAGGCCACTCCACTGTGCCTGGGCTTCGTGCCCGCCCCAGGCCCTCATCCTACCCCTCCAGTCACCAAGGAGGCAGATGCTGCCCCAGGCGGGTCCGGGAGTGAGAGCCCCACCCAGACTCCAGAGCCAAGCACTGAGTGCCAGCCCCAGGCTCCTGGGGCCTCAGACCGAGTGCGCCCAGCCCTGGGCAGCCTGCCAGGAGTCCCCATGGCCCTGAGCAGGGGGCATCAGGAATCCCCAGCCCATCGGCCCCGCACACGGCTCTGGGGCCACCACGCGGCACGTAGCCCCCCCATGCCACTGTCAGGTTACCTTAAAATCCACTGTGGCCAACTGCCCTCTAACCCCTCCCTTTGCAGGTCTTCTGAGTCCATGCCAGACCCACCTAGGCACAACCAGTCCCCAGACACGCAACACGGCCCACTGGTCTCCTGGGGGGAGGGGCATCATCTCCCCCCAGCCCTGCCCCTGGGGAGAGCAACAGGGGGTGGGGGTGATGGAGTCCTTTAAGGGGGCATCAGTCCGTGGACCTGAGCAGAGGGTTTGGATGAACAGCTGGGGAGGGAAGAACTGGCAAGAGAGAAGATGGAGTGCTACAGAGGAAGTTTGCCGATTCCTCTCCCTGCCCCTGGCACAGGCCCTGAAGGCAGCAGAGGTGAAGCAGGCCGAACACTTCCCCTCCTCCCCCACCCCAATGGCCTGGACAGTAAACCAGGGATAAGGACCAGCCTGGAGAGAACCAGACTAAGGACTCCAGGGAAGATGCCCTGAGGGTCCACGGCCTGGCAGGAACGGGGACTCCAGGGAGAGAGCCCTGCAGAGCCTGGGAGGGGGCGCAGGGGGCTGGGGCCTGAGCCCAGGGAGGTGAAGAGTTTCCAGTCCTCAGCCTTGAGCCTGGAGGTTGGGTAGCCTGGAGGGGTGAGAGCCCCCAGCCCCCATGGCACTCTCAAGGCAAACTGGCTGCAATGCTGGGTGTTGCCACGAGGGGCGCTCTGAGGTGGTAAGGCTGTCACGGGCATGACCCCCAAACCTGTCCCATCCTGCAGCTCCTGGGGTGGCCATAAGAGCTCTCACCTGCACTGATGCTGATCTGCACACCAGGGGGTGCTCAAACCCACCCTCCCCTCTACAAGGTGGAGCCAGGGAGAGACACCTGGGCAGGTGCCTGGGGATGGGATGGGAGGGACCAGCAGGCATGTCCCAGCGCCCCATGGGGCTTCGATCCTGGAGCCCCTGCGCAGAGCTGGCAACTGAGGCAGGGAGGGAAGCCACAGCACGTCCTGGCTCTGCGCGAGTCAGCCTGGGGACAGGCAGCCTCGAGGTAGGATGTGCTGTGTGTAGTGTGTGTGCCCTGCCATGCACACACACTACAGCTGGCCGGGAACCCATTCTCCAGTGAGAAATTTCAACCAACAAACATTTCTTTTAGTGGGGGGGGGGGGGGAAATGACAATGCGTGAGCAGCTGCAGGTGGGTGAATGTCTGCACATGGGCATGGGGGTGGGATTGGTCAGTTGGTTTTGCGGAAAAGCCATCGCTGTGGGGAAACATTTGGAAGGACCATTTTCTACCAGCTGTAACTCCAACAGCCTGGAGCCAGGGCTGGGCTAGCAGGGGGCTGCGGGTCGGGATTGGGGGCACCGGCAGAACATGGAGGGAAGGTTGCACAGCCCTTTTGATTTTGTCCGACTGGCCCTCTCCCCTGGGGTTTTCCCTGATTAGGAGTATGGTGGAATATTGTGTCCAGTTCTGGGTACCACATTTCAGGAAAGATGTGGACAAATTGGAGTCCAGAGAAGAGCGAGAAAAATGATGAAAGGTCTAGAGAACATGACCAAGGAGGGAAGATTGAAAACACTGGGTTTGTTCAGTCTGGAGAAGAGAAGACTGAGAAGGGACATAACAGTTTTCAAGTACATAAAAAATTGTTCCAATTAGCCTCTGAGGATAGGACAAGAAGCAATGGGCTTAAATTGCAGCAAGGGAGGTCTAGGTTGGACATTAGGAAAAAGTTCCTAACTCTCAGGGTGGTTAAACACTGGAATAAATTGCCTAGGGAGGTTGTGGAATCTCCATCATTGGGGATTTTTAAGAGATGGTTGGACAAACACCTCTCAGGAATAATAATAATAATAATAATAATTTGAGATATCCCATCTCCTAGAACCAGAAGGGACCTTGAAAGTTCACGGAGTCCAGCCCCCTGCCTTCACTAGCAGAACCAAGTACTGATTTTTGCCCCAGATCCCCCAGTGGCCCCCCCAAGGATTGAGCTCACAACCCTGGGTTTAGCAGGCCAATGCTCAAACCACTGAGCTATCCCTCCCCCATGGGCTAGCTAATTAGTTCTGCCATAAGGGCAGGGGACTGGACTTAGTGACCTCTCGAGGTCCCTGCCAGTCCTACGATTCTATGAACACACACAGCCAGTGGGGCGGGGCTGGGCTGGGCCTGGGCCGAGCCGACGGGCAGTGGTGGCACTAGGCGTAAGCACACTAAGCAATTGCTTAGGGCCCCGAGCCGCTCGCAGGCTAGCGAGCAGGAGCAGCTAACGGGGAGTTTTGCAAAGAAGTTAAGAGGAGCAGCGTGGCGGGGGGTGGGGGCGAGGTGCAACTTACCGTTCTTTAAACTTAAAAGCCAAAAACACCCCGCTACAAACAAAACAAAGGAACGAGGTGCAGGAGTGAAAAGAGAATGCAGGCAGAAGT